TTTGGTTTTTTGAGACAGGGTCTCACTATGTAGTTGAGACTGACCTGGAACTCACTATGTAGCTCAGGCTGGTCTCGAACTCACAGTGATCCTCCTGCCTCAGCCTCCCGAGTGCTGGGATTACAGGCCTGCACCACCACACCTGGCTGTGACTTCAGACATTCTTGAGAGGGCTGGGGCTGTAGCTCAGTGGTGGAGCCTAGCAGGGGGGAGTCCCTGGGCTCCACCCCAGTACCTTTTCTAGACCTGGTCCTGCGTGATATGTGTGAGGTCATAAAGGAGACATAGAAGTGTGCCGTGGTATAATTTTTTCAAATAGCAAATGAGCACCTCACAGCCATATGGCAGGCATGTATTGAATGAGGAAGGAACCAGTAACCTGAGATGGGGAAATTGGTAAGCATATTGGAAGATCCTGACAAAAGGGTTTGAGAGTTTAAAACCTGAGGCCAAACGAAGAAGAAAAGGAGGAGAGGAGGGAAGAACTTTCTTAAAGAGTTAAGCATTAATTCCCCAAGTGGAAAGATGATGCGGGTGCTAGCTCAGAAGTCCACAGAGCACGGCAAATTTGAAGCTGCCTTCCATGATTTTGAAGTGGACTTTACAAGAAATTTTGATGTGACTCATAGAAGAACGTTCAAATACCATACAAACTGGTGGAGTTCTGAGGGTTTCGGGCTAGATCATGCTTAGATTTTACTGTAGTTTTCTAGACTTCTAGAGCTGAGGGAAACCTTAAAACGTCTAAACTATAACTTTACACATAAGAAAACTATAGGTGAAGAGGGCTTAAGTGACTGATCTGAAGTCATTTTCATTCTCAGAAAATAATTTTAAGTACAGTTTAGTGGAAATGGAAGGTAGAAATGAAAACTTGCTATTCCAAGTGATTTGTTGACAAATGATCTGTTAGTGAGAAGGAATGTTTCCAGATTGTTTGTGCTGTATCTCATTGTGTCAGGACAGTGTAAGAAGAAAGGGTGGCACTATTAAGAAATCATCTTTGAAAGGCCTCAGTATCAAGTAAAGTCGGTTTCCCCCAGTTTCAAGCCACGGTTATTAAAGTTCTAACCAACCCGTAAGGAATCTCCCTACGTAGGTTCAATTATATAGAGAAAGAAAGAAAGAGAGAGAGAGAGAGAGAGAGAGAGTAAGGAAGGAAGGAAGGAAGGAAGAAAGGAAAAGAGAAGAGAAGAGAAAAGAAAAGAAAAGAAAAGAAAAAAGAAAAGAAAAGAAAAGAAAAGAAAAGAAAAGAAAAGAAAAGAAAAGAAAAAAGAAGAAAAAAGAAAAAACATTCTCTTAACACTCTCCTTCAAAACAAAGTCCTAGAGGGGAATAGAAACTTCTGTATTGGACATGATTGGCACAAAAGATTTATATGCATTAACTTACAAGGAGAAATAGCCAGAAGATTCCTCTAAGTTTAAACTGTTATTTACCTCTTCCAGTTATTTTAAAAATTAAACATGCTCTATCTATGAACATGGTTTTCAAAAGGTCTTTGACAGGTGATAGACAAAAACTTAGTAAAATAACACAGCTAAGCATCATTATCAATGAGTTTGACCAAGGCACTCAGTGTTATGTGATATTTGGCTTTGTTCCTGGTGATTCTTGGCTCCAAATCAGTCCATACCTGTCCAGTAAATTAGAGCAAACAACCAGAAAACCAGGCTGTGGAGAACTAAGGTGTTGTCTTCTTCTCGATTCCTTTTCTTTTCTTTTTTTCCTTTCCTTTCTTTTTCTTTTTTGGAATTCTGGGGACTGAACCCAGGACCTTGCACATACTAGGCAAATATTCTACCATTGAGCTACATGACCAACCTGCTTCTTTTTAATTGGAAAATAATATTTGTACAAATTTATATGGTACAATATAATAGTTCAGTACATGTATACACTGTGCACCTATCCACCTATTTACCTATTCTTCCTCTATTTATCCACCTGTGCATCTATCTATCCACCCATTCATCCATCCATTTATCAATACAGCTTTCCACCCAATCACCTGTCCATCCATCCATCAATTCACCTAGCCATGCACCTGTTAATCCACCCTTCCTTTATCCGTCCAGTTACCTGTTTATCTATCACAGACCAGGGATGAAATTAGCATCATACCATATACAAAACAACTTCCCCCAAAACACACACAGCAAAGAATGTGTCAGCCCAGATGCGAATAATGCTCAGGTTGAAAAGCCAGGTTCTACAATGCGATTCTGTCCCTTGAGAGTGCAGATCCCATCTTATTTGAGTTTGTAGGTCTAGTTGTAAGTAGATTTGTGTGTTCTGAAAATCTTGATGACTAAAGGTCAACAAAATAAAAGTTACAGTGCTAATATTTCTACCAGGCATGGTGGTTCTTTCCTGTATTATCAGCATTGGGAAAACTGAGGCAGGAGGATTGCCAGGAGTTTGAAACAGCCTAGACCACACAGTGAGTTAAAGGCCAGCCTAAATTACATAGTGAGACCTCCAAAAAATGTGTAATATTTGAATATTTTTCTTATATGGTGGTCAATTACATTTGAGTGATAAACTATAAATCATCCAGAATTACTGAAACCTGCCATGGTGATGATATAGCCTCTTAAATTATTAATTTTATTAATTTATAGCCTCTATCATTTATTAATTTTTAGTGCTCCTAAAATTTACCACATCTAAGGCTAAGAAGAATCAGGATATCAGTGCTTTCTGCCATTTCCTTTTGATTTTGGGGGTTTCAGGCATTTTTCTTTTCACTCTTTTAAGCCTAATATTATACTATCCCATAAGGTGCTATGGGATTTTAGATGAAGGCATTTGCCCAAATGTTAACTATGTTGTATGTCCCTGAATTCTGGCATATTTAAATTTTGGGTTTTGTTTTTGTTTTTGTTTTTTAGATAGGGTCTTGCTATGTAGTTCAGGCTGGCCCTTAACTCACTATGAAGCCCAGGCTGGCCTCGAACTCATGGCGATCCTCCTGCCTGTGTCTCCCATGTGCTGGGAAGACAGGCTTGTGCTACCACACCCAGCTATTTAAGAGAAAAAAAAATCTGTTTGTTTCTTTTCTGTAAGAGAGAATCATTTTATCTGTCTTGAACTCTGAGTAGCTACTTTAAAGATAATGATACACAGTGTATTAACCATTGCTATTCTCCTATTTTATTATGAAATTTTGTTTCTTTATAAAATAAATAATACTAAAAAACAGCCTTTTAATATTGATAATTAATTTCAATAATAAGATTAATTTGGGGGCTGGGGATTTAGTTTAGTGGTTCTGCCACCTGCCTTGCAAGCACAAGGACCCGAGTTCGATCCCTGGTACCAAAAAAAAAAAAAAAAGATAATTTTGAATAAAGATAATTTTTATACAAAAGCAAGAAGTACAGGTACATGGAAATACAGATTTAATAGTTATACAATCTCAGCTGTTCAAGTTCAACTTTCTTCCTCACCATTTCATCCCTCTTTTCTTGTCTGGGCTTTTGTAATGGTGTGTGTGTGTGTGTGTGTGTGTGTGTGTGTGTGTGTGTGTGTGTACGCGTGCCTGCCTGCCTGTCTTTTAAGCATTTCTACCCTTTCAAGTTCACACTTTGGGATGCATAGTGATTCTTTTCCTTCTTGCCTCTTCAAGCTCAATTAAGTTGCAAAAGGTAACAAGGAAGTGGAGGAGAAAATGACGTATGAGCCAATTTCACAATTTCTTTTTGTGGATTTACAAATGAAAGGGGGAGGGAGTACAACAGAGGATTAAATGGGGATGTTTAGATTATCTACAATTTCTCAAGAATTCTCTGTCTCAGTACTCAATAAAAGACAACTGTAGAGGAGATTCTCCTTTCAGCCTGAGAATGAAAACATACAGTACACTTCATACATTTGATGAGAAATGAAGAGTTGAAGAGTTGGGGTTTTTTTTTGTTTTGCTTTGTTTGTTTGTTTGTTTTACCCAGTTAGGTTTTGCAAAAGTTATAAACATAATAATAAAATATGACCTCATTTTAGTATTTTCCTGGAAGCGTGCAGTTTGCGTGTCTGGAGACTCAGATATATTAACTTTTAGGATCTGGCTTTAATTACTTGCTCTTGCTTTCATTCATTTCTGAGAATATTAGCTGATCAGTGCGTCTGTGAAGTTAAAATTATTTAGAGCTCTTGAAAGGCATTTTGGAAGAAATTTGAAATAACCATAATTGAGCATTTCTTAAGAAATCTTTTTCCTTGAGCATTTAATGAAATAAAATAACAGAATGACAAATTTGGCAAAGGAATTGGTTTCAATGGGAGTGCTACAAAACAGGTAAATTGGAAATTCTGTCTTAAATTGTTTTGGTAGAACTAATGGAATAAATGGAATAAAAATATAAATAAATTTTATATTCCCTTAATCTAGTTTGCATTTTTCAGTCCTTTTTTG